GGTTTGTTGTTTTGTGGGTTCGAAGGTTTGTTAAGGTATTATTTGGATGAATTTAGAGGGAAATAGACTGTAGGAGAAACCTAAAAAAATAAAAGTCTATGCTTCATTAATAATATTTTGCTATGCTTCACTTGACCTGGTTGATGAATAAGCTGTTAATCCAAGACTGAAAATCAGAATTTGTTCCTGTTTTTCTGGCTCCTAATGTTTGTCTTGATATGGTAAAAACTGGACAATGATTAAGGAGCAATTTTTTTTTTTTGGAAGATCATTAGAAAGAATGGAAAGAAACACATTTAGCTGATCATTCTTTTATCCTTCAATTATAGAAAAATGGCAAAATGCTCTTTTCTAATTAAAGTCGATTTTTTTTTCCTCCTAGTGTAAATAGATTGAAAGTACCCTAATTTTAAAAGATGTAGTAACTATATTTTATATCCCACGCGTAATCATACAGACCTAGGTGATTCGTCAACAGATCATAACTTTATTAAATTTATTCTATGTCTGTCATTAGATTTTCTGACATGTTTCTCATTTTTCCTTTGCTCAAAGTTATGATATATATCCTAAATAAAGTTTGATTAAAAGTATACTTCAGTAAAAATAACGATTAAGATTTACTAACCACACATCCTCAAAAAAAAAAAAAAAAAAAAAAAAAAAAAGATTTACTAACCACACATTGGTGGTATCCCCTAGTGCGTAGTAAAGATATTCAGAAATTCTTGAATACTTACATCTTCTCACGCAAGCTGGGCGAACTGCAGTAGTACTTCACGTCATTGTGGAAGAACCAATTCTCGTCCAGTTCAAAGCCCATAAGCATCTTAAGGTAAATATCAGAAGCAGAGAGGCCTGAGATATTGGATAGCATGATCGGGAACTGAGCTTCAATTCTGCATGATTCATTGAAATCCGAAATCTTTGTTTGGCTATTGAAAAGAAAAAAGTAGGTGTGTGCAGAGGAAGAGCTATCGGTGCAATTAGAGGCATCCACATAGAGTGATGAACTCATCGGCATCCTGCAATTTAGAACATGCATGATGCTATTCGTAGTTAGCGCTGGGCTAAATGACCCAAACGTACTACATGGAAATTTAACAAGAGGGTAGTAGTAGGGAATGGAACATTTATTCCTATCGAGACTGGCATCCACCACTCGAACTGTTAGATTCTCACGAGAGACTTCCTCCACTAAGAAATTTTGGTTTGTAGTAAATTTGAGAGGCAAAGTGGTGCGGTTGTTCTTGCAAACTAGTTCATACTCTGGGTCACCACACTCCTTAGGATCACAGGGTAATCGGAAAGGGAGATCTATAGTGAGTTTTCCACAGGAAGAAGGGACGCAATCAGCCATACAAGTGTCAGGAAAAAGAGACACAGAAAGGGCCATCAGGCCGAAGAGGGCAACAATTTTTTCTCTAACTAACATCCTAAAGCTAGGGTGTTAGAGCATGGGGTTTTCTAAAGGATATAATATAGGAAAAACTCTGATGATAACAGATACGACCCAATTACGCCCCCCACAAAAAAAGGCAGAAGAAGAAGATAGCAACCAGTGCAAACTAGGTGGCTCTCAAAGGCAATAAAGCAAACACCTAGAATCCATATTGCCTAAACTGATGGGATGACTACATAAAGAAGCCTTCAAGTTGCTGCACAGTACGATGCTGCTTTGGCTGACTTCGATTTTTAAAAGGATTAATTGGAATAGTAGATTCCCCTAACATGTCTTTTTAACCTCAATGGAAAAAGGAAGCCTAGAATTTTCTTCACATAGTTGTTACCCAATTTGCAGCTTCCATGAAACTTAAATCAACGGACCAATAATCAACTGGAAACACCCAGCACAGCTAAATTTCTAATCAGAAGCTCTGAAGTAGTTTCCATCAGGTTGCCGCGTGTCTACCCCACAGCCTACACAGTTGGTTTTTTTTTTTGGTTAACTACAGTAATTCGGAGATGGGACGGGGAGGGGACGATATTACAAGGGTGAGGTGGGGCTCCAACTCCACAACCCACGTGCCAATCGTGGAGCAAAGTGGCGAATATTTGTCCCATAGCAGAAATTTCATAGAAGAATTAATGACAAATGAATTCCTACTTTGAAAAATCTAAAGTCCGCAAATCCTCCCTGCGCCTTCCAAAACGTCATGCTCATTGTATAAGGTACACAGCTTCTTCTTCCGTCCTGATAATCGTATCCTAAATCACACTGAATCTTGGATTCAAAGACTTCAGGGATGGAAAGTTTCTTCAGAATGATTCTTTTTCTTTTTTGCTTTGTCTTGATAGTGAGGGTTACAGAGCTCCATGCTACCAGAGATGAATGCCAACCCACAAAGTGCAATCACCATACCATCAGATTCCCATTCCGACTTAAGGGGCAGCAACAACCGGAAAACTGCAGCTATCCTGGATTTGAACTATCCTGCATAGACAAAAACCAAACTGTGCTAGAGCTGTCGCGAAATGTGAAGTTCTTGGTAAAGCGTATAGATTACAGAGCACAGTGGATTCAGTTATATGACCCCCAGGGATGCCTCGCGAGGCAGCTTCCCAATAATTTATCTGCATTTCCCTTCCTGGATTACAGCGACCAACCTCAAAAATACACTATTTTCAATTGTTCAGGCGAAGGACAAATGACAGAAAGAGATGAATCCCACGCTATTCCTTGCCTAAGCATCCAAGGATTCCAAGTTGTAGCTCTTCCTTCCGATTCTACAGAAGTTGCTAATTTGTTAAATTGCACCAGAACGCTATTAAACATTTCGGTAACACAAATGTTTAGTGGTATGTTGTATGACGGGACAAAGGATGTTTATTTGAGTTGGGAAAAACCAGACTGCAGAGGATGTGAAGTGGAAGGCAGGAAATGCAGACTGAAGAAAAATAATAGTACTACAGAGGATAAGACAGAGTGTCATGGTCCATCCAAGAAAGAAAGAGGTATGGTTTTAAGTTTTAACAATTCCAAATGTTATGAATGCCATCAATGCTCTCTGAGTTCATTTGTCTTCCTTTAATTTTCTAGCCTTTACTTGTTCTGTTGCTTTAAAAGCTTTTACTTTTGATTCTGAGATGAACATCTAGTTTAAAATTTTACATCCCTGGCCATTGGCCAAAAACTCCGATATCTCGGTTTTGTCATATCAGATTGTAATAGATTTGAAGAACATATCAAGAATCTAACTTTCGAATCTTTTACAGATAGACCGAAAAAACTGATGGCTACAGGAATAATCCTAGGTTCCTGTCTTCTTGGAATAATTGTCTTTGCACTTTACCGCATTCACCATTCATACAAAACAAAGAAAGAGGGCCAACTCAAGATTGAAAATTTTTTGGAGGATTACAAAGCTCTCAAACCCTCGAGATATTCTTATGCTGATATCAAGAGAATAACAGATCAGTTCAAGGACAAACTTGGAGAAGGGGCCTATGGAACAGTTTTCAAAGGGAGACTTTCCAATGATGTTTTGGTCGCTGTCAAGGTCCTCAACAATTTCAGAGCGACTGCAGAAGAGTTCATTAATGAAGTGGGATCAATGTGTAGAATCCACCATGTCAATGTTACTCGCTTGATTGGATTTTGTGCAGATGGAAATAAAAGAGCTCTTCTTTATGAGTACATGCCAAACGAGTCCTTAGAGAAGTTCATATTTGTAGCCAGAAATAAAGATCGTTTCCTCAGTTGGGAGAAGCTTCAAGATATTGCTATGGGAATAGCCAAAGGAATTGAGTACCTGCACCAAGGTTGCGACCAACAAATCCTTCATTTTGATATCAAGCCTCACAATATCTTGCTAGACCAAAACTTCAATCCAAAGATCTCGGACTTTGGTTTAGCAAAGCTGTGTTCCAAGGAACAAAGCGCTGTTTCTATGACAGCAGCCAGAGGAACAATGGGATATATTGCTCCTGAGGTACTGTCTAGGAACTTTGGAAAAGTGTCATATAAGTCAGATGTTTATAGTTTTGGAATGCTATTGCTGGAAATCGTAGGAGGAAGAAAGAATATTGATGTCACAGTGGAGAGTACGAGCCAAGTTTACTTCCCGGAATGGGTGTACAATTGCTTGGACAGAGGAGAATTTGGGATTATAATTGAAAGTGAGGTGCATGCCAAGATGGCAAAAAAACTTACAATTGTTGGACTTTGGTCAGTTTGGTGCATTCAGTGGTACCCAGCAGACCGTCCATCAATGAAAGCTGTAGTACATATGTTGGAAGGAGAAGTTGATAGTTTGACAGTGCCACCAAATCCCTTTGGCCATGCAGATGGTGTGCAAAAAATAGGTGTCAACATCCCTAAGAAACCAATTAATAGAGAACTAGAAGTTATCTCTGAATTAGAATAATTGTAATGTATTCTAGATCTACGTCTAAGTGGTTCTTTTACTTTTCCTAGTGCGTCTATCCATATAAAGTAAGGACTTAATATTGAGTGCTAAATGTTTTATACAATCATTAAAAGGATTGTATATTAACTTAACCATCTATCTGTGGAATATGGAATGTTTTATAAGAAGGTTTTTCCTCCCTCTTTTCTTTTATCTTCTTTCTTTTTAATCCATCAAGACCTATTCCATGATTTTTATACATGATGATCTAATTTCTTTCTATCAAAAGTACTAGTTACTGAAAATGATTAGTACATACTCAATTTAACACATTTTTTAACACTTGTCTTGATTTAATTATTAAAATATAATATAAGTGCAAATAATTAAGTCGGTTCTTGTGTTTTGAAGTATTATTACATCTTCAAATTTATATATTTTTAATTTTAAACTAAAAAATAATGATTTTTTAATGTGTGTTGCACAGTGTGCATCAAGCGCTGTCCCTAATTAATTCAATAAATATAATGATGAAAACAATAAAGTATCCTATTATAGAGACTATAAATTAATTAAGTATCAGAATTACCTAACTCTAATTTTATTTGAACAATTGAAATTAAGAGATTTAAGTAATCTAATTAACTAAGGCTCTATTTAGTTTGGTTTTGGTTTTGAGTTTTCATTTTTCATATATTTAATTAGTAATTATTATTATATTTAGAAATCAAAATTTATTTTAAATATTTAAGTTCATAAATTTTAATTTAAATATACTATTAGTTACTAA